CCTTTGTAGTCTTATTTGCTTTATCAGGGATTTGGTTGTGCCCTTTGTTTACTAAGATCCATCATTATTTAATCTAAAAATAACATTTATCTTGTAAATCTAGAACTATTAAGAACGATGAGTTCTTGGAAAATATAGCTGGACTATTATTACCTGTTACTTAGCTGTAACTGTTCCAGTTGCGGATGTATCTAATACATCACTATTATGGCACAGATGAAGGAGAAGGGCTCAGAGAGGTTGAGGAAATTGTCAAAAATCATGTGACTGGATGATGGCAGAACCAAGAGTAAATTTTGGTCTCTCAACTGCCACGGTCCTTTCACCATATCCCACTGTCCTATTTTTTTTTTGCTGATTAAAATCATTTAAAGCAGCCCTTAAATTTTAAAAATAACCCTACCTATCCTGCTCACATAAAATCTGGTCTCAGCAGTTTTTGACCTCTTTTAATTTTTTTCTTAAAGATATGTAAGCATCACACATACACACACACAAAAGATATGCAGACATCACATCTTTTATGATATTGATAGTCATATGACAACTAATAACTCATGGCTCCATTGCATCCTGCTTTTTCACCAGTGAATATTTCACCATTCTCAGGCAATTAGATTGGCTTATCAGGCTGTGATGAAAAAGCTTTGGACCTTTTTGCAGAGGGATGATGGGTCTTGGATGCATTTTTCTATTACAGTCAAGCTCCTCTATGGTATCAATATGTATTTAGACAACTTCATTCTTAATTTTGAGGCCACAGAGGGGTATTTATCTATATGTGCAAATTATGTTCACTTAATTGGTGGCAGGGGCAGTGGGAATGTGGGTGCTTTTCATGCCAGAATCACTTGATTATTTTAAAAAATGATTTTCTTTTTGTCTCAATTGTTTGTACTTGTTATATTATATATGAACTTCAGGTTATTGAAGTTCTTTTCTTCCAGTCTTCTTTCTTGTTAAGAATGGAATATTTGTAGTCTTAGAGTGCTCTTATATTACTCCCTCTACCGAGAGTTTCTTCCATTTTACTTTTAGCTAGTTCACTACTATCTGCTACCTAGTTAACTGCTCCTCATGCTTGAGGTCTCAGCTCAATTGATACCTTCTCATAGAGGTTTTTATTTTATTATCTCTTTATATAAGCAGCTCCCTGTCCCCCAAGTTTTTATCACTTTAAGCACTTATTTCTTCGTGGCACTTACCACTATGTGTGCGTTTTTTAGTTTGTTTGCTTTTTTATTATCTCTTTCAATGCACTTGATCATAGGGCCCATGTATCTATTGTTCAGAAGGTGTGTTTATTTTGCCCCAGCAGCAAGCCTAATGCTTGATACATAGTAGAGGTTCAATCAACATTTGTAAATGAATGCTATGTCTTTGTGAGTTGGTGTGGAATTTTGTAATTTGTTTAGAGACGTTTGAGTATGTGTTAAATCTTGGTCTCTTATAAAAACCTATTTTGGATTATTTCCTTCATTGATGGACACTGACATTGACAAGGGGTTGTCTACTACTCAGTTACCTTGACTCCAGACCTATTTAATGGACTAGGCCTCCTAGAGCATTGGACCATGGTGCCTTATCTTGTGTGTACCTAGGCTTTCTAGAACATTCAAGACCACAATGCACTATCTTCTTGAGGTTGCATTCTATGGTAGCCTCTGGTCACTGGTGGCTATTGAGCAATAGAAATATGGCTAGTATGAAATGCCATCTGTTGTGAGTATAAAATATACATTGGATTTTGAATATTCAGCATAAAAATGTAAAATATCTTACTAATATATGTTATATTGTTTACTTATTGAAATACTATTTTGGATATACTGGGTTAAATAAAATATATTATTAAAATTAATTTGACTTTTTCTTTTTTCACTTTTTAAATGTGCTACTAGAACATTTAAGACTATATATATGAATCACATTTGTGGCTCACATATTTCTATTTTTGGCAGTGCTATTCTAAACCCAACTAGTCTACCTTAGTTATTTGGCAGTATAGACCAAAGGTGAGCCACTGAAGGGAATGCTAAAATTGCAGAAGCCTCTCATAGTGTGCTCTTTTATTGATAGATATTAGCTAACGGAGGGCTGGAACCTCGGGAGAGTGGCTTTGGTACCATTTCAGTACTACTTCAGTGTTAAGTCATGAAGCCTGGGTACAATTTGTGTACTAAGACACAGAAAGTTTAAATGTCTTGCCAGTGATCATAAATCTTGCTTAGAAGAATGCTGGTATGAGAACCCAAATCTTTTAATTATGCTCAGTAGTTGAATTACTTATAGAGGAATCTACTAATAAAATTACATCTTCTTTTTTAAAATGCCATACTGGACAATTTTAAAGAACTGTTAATAAATTATGTATGTTCTCTGTCAATTAATGAGGAAATTACATTTCAGTCCTTAGCTGGTTATATAGATGGAAGATCATATTGTATACTCTGATAAATTAAACAAACAGAAACTCTTTCTGTTATTATTGCCACATATGCTATAGTAGAGCATTAAACTGGGATGACATTTATTTAGCAAAGGAGCATACACTGCAAAGCAAAATTTAAACAAAAAGGCGGATATGAACATGAAATCTACTTGTAAATAAGTATAAATCTAGTAAGTATTCTTTGCATAGGTATAAAAACTCACTTGGAGACCATGTGCTGTATTTTGGAAAACTCATTACCATATCCCATTACAAAAGTCCTTGTCATTGACATATCAGGCAAACGTTTCTTCTTAGGTAAAGATATGGATTTTTGAATAAGTAGCTTCATCATCATGATCTTCTGGTTCATTAATTTAGTAAATATTTAGTGAGAACATGCTCTGTACCAGCAAGTCTGTGTGTTCTAGGTGCTAAATATACTACCATGACCAATACAGACAACCTTTTACTTACATTTCAGTGCTCAGTTATTTTCTCAATAGGGATAATGAAATGAGATGGTAAAGTAAATCTAAGCAGTGCTATTTTGTAATGTCACCAGTGACATTTTTGTTGGTTGGGAACTAAAGTGAATTTGGAGTTATCTATTTGTATCTTTCCAGAGGTGCCTATGGATAGTGAAGATGCATAAAACATTACATATACAGTACTTATTAATATTTTCAGACTGTCAGAAGACATCCTTAAAGTCTCAAATAAAACAATTAGACTCTGTTAAGGGATTTCCCAATAATTGGGAGAGGGGGTTCTTGGCATATTATTTAGCTTATTATTATCATACATATTATTATGCTGTATCCCTTGTTTCTTCTGCTTGGATATCCCAACCTATAGTTAAACCTGGAAGTCTTAGTTCTTATATCCATTAATTCTAGAAACTCCTAGTCAGAATGACTTCCCTCTTCACTCAACACAGACTCACTCATTTTTTAAAAGAGATTTTATTTATTTATTCACGAGAGACACACAGAGAGAGGCAGAGACATAGGCAGAGGGAGAATCAGACTCCCTGCGGGGAGCCTGATGTGGGACTTGGTCCCAGGACCAAGGATCATGACCTGAACCAAAGACAGACACTCAACCACTGAGTCACCCAGGTGCTCAAGACTCACTCATTCTCATTCTCTCACTTCTGAGTCCTACCCCTTGCATATGTCTCTCCCTTCCACATATTCACTTGTATACACTTTCACATGTTCTCCTTCATCCTGGACCCCTTTCAGGCAGAGGTTCCTTAAACACAGCATTTTTTTTTCCCTTGAAGCTCAGCCGGTAGATGTCTCCATTACTCCCTCATAGCTAAGACCTTGGCAAGTAGGTTTTAATCATTTCTTTAACCGACAATAAGGAGGAGGATTTGATAATTTGCCTAAAATGAGCAGATGCTCGGGAGGACACGTCCCCATCCTACGTCCCTCCTCTTCGATTTAAGTCAGAAATGAAAACCCCTTTCTCCCTCTTTTCCAGGCAAAAGAAAAGGCTGATATAACTAAGCATGCAAGACGCCAACACCCTCCTCCTCCTCAGTACGTCCAAGTTTCCTTTGCTCTGAGCCACAAACGCTCTGCTTCTCCCTTCGCTCTCGCCCACCTCACCCCCACCCCCGCAGGTGTCCGAGTCATCAGGGAACGCGAGTGGGTGAAAGGACTCTGTGCTGCAGCATCCCGAGCCGCCGCCTCCTCCTGCGCCTCCTCCGTGCCGCCTCGGGTTCAGCACTGGACAGCTCCCGCCCCAGCCCAACAAATGGCAGTCGGCTGATTGACAGAGGAGCCGACCAAACAGGGAACAAGACGGCTTGAAGCCGCCCTTCATGGGTTTGGTTGCGGCCAAGCTGCCTCTTTAAACCGGCTTTCCCCCCGAGAAGGGGGAGCCAGGAGTGTGGTTTGTGGCCAAACCTGAGGACTCCGGTTGACCAGTTGCCTGGTCCTATAAACTCCAGAAAGACAATCAATCTTCTTCAAAGAAACCGTCGCTCTTTGGGGCCGAGTCGTGCGCTCGCCGTGCGGATCCGTGTGCGCGCGCTCCGCGCCTCCCCGCGGAGCAGCGAGGAGGAGCCAGAGCCGGGAGGCGGGAACGACCTGCCACGGGTGAGATGATGGAGCGGCGTCTTCGGCGGCCGCGGCGGCAGCGGCAGCAGCAGCAGCGGCAGCAGCAGCAGCAGCGGCAGCAGCAGCAGCTCTTGAACACACCTCAATGAGAGCGACGGTGGAAGCTGCTGAGCAGGAAGACGTAGGCAGGCTAACTATAGCCGCCGGCTGCCAGAGGGGATGTAACCTGTTCGGCTCAAGGCTGTGAGGTGCGTAATCCCGAGCCGACCCATTATGGAGCGGGTGCAGCCAGCGTTGCCACAGGTGATTTGATTTCCTGTGACGGTAGCTTAGCCAGCCGGGCCAATTCCGAAACATTCTTATTTTAAAGTCCTCTTCGACTGGGTGCCGCCATCTGGAGAAGGGGACGACTCCGAGTAAAAGTCTTACTGTTGATAAATTGACGACCAAATCTTACAAAGTGTCCCCCGTTACCTCCTCTCGTCTCTGCGAAGCAGATGGGAGCCATGGCTTATCCCTTACTCTTCTGCCTCCTGCTCGCTCATCTGGGTTTGGGAACTGTGAGCACCAGCCGCGACCCTCCGGGACGGCTGGACTCCCCTCGAGAGAGAAGCCTGAGGCTGAAGCAGCACGCCCAGCAGCCCGCTCGAGCCTCTGCCTCGGACCCCTCGGCTCCCTGGAGCCGCTCCACCGACGGCACCATCTTGGCGCAGAAACTCGCCGAGGAGGTGCCCATGGACGTGGCCTCTTACCTCTACACCGGGGACTCCCACCAGCTGAAGCGAGCCAACTGCTCCGGCCGCTACGAGTTGGCGGGCCTGCCGGGGAAGTCGTCGGCCCTAGCCAGCTCCCACCCCTCCCTGCACGGGGCGCTGGACACGCTGACACACGCCACTAACTTCCTCAACATGATGCTGCAGAGCAATAAGTCGCGGGAGCAGAACTTGCAGGACGACCTGGAGTGGTACCAGGCACTGGTGCGGAGTCTGCTGGAGGGCGAGCCCAGCATTTCCCGGGCAGCCATCACCTTCAGCACCGAGTCGCTGTCCGCGCCCGCCCCGCAGGTTTTCCTCCAGGCCACCCGCGAGGAGAGTCGCATCCTGCTCCAGGACCTGTCCTCCTCGGCACACCACCTGGCCAACGCCACGCTGGAGACCGAGTGGTTCCACGGCCTGCGGCGCAAGTGGCGGACCCACTTACACCGCCGCGGCTCTAACCAGGGGCCCCGGAGCCTGGGCCATAGCTGGCGGCGCCGGGACGGGCTTGGCGGGGACAAGAGCCATGTCAAGTGGTCCCCGCCTTATTTGGAGTGCGAGAACGGGAGTTACAAGCCTGGGTGGCTGGTCACTCTCTCCGCTGCTTTCTACGGGTTGCAGCCTAACCTGGTCCCCGAATTCAGGTAGGGAGTGGAAAAAAAGGCAAAAGCGAAGCCTTCCTTCCGGTTTCGCGTCGGGGAAGGAACACTTGGCTGTGACACTTAACGCTTCTCACCCTCTCAGCCGATCGCAGGCTGAGGGACGTGTTTGGCGGGCGCCTGTGCTTAGGGACAAGAAGCGCCCTACGTTTGTTAGCTCAGTGAAGGCTTCTCTCGGATCAGTTTCCCTGCAAGGGGCAAGAGATTGGGGAGCATTTGACAGAGTTGAGAGACATCTCTGATGCCCTATGCTTCTTTTCAACCCTCAGGAGAGCAGGGAGGGGGAGTTCCCCCTCTGGGGGTGATCTGAGGGAAGCTGGAGAGCTCCCGGTGTGCCCACCAGGCACAGAGTGGCCAGCATTGGATGAGAGAGAAAAGGGAACAGGAGGAAGACAGAATTCCCCATTTCTGCCACTTAGGGGTAGCCTGCACCTGCTTCCTATTTGTGTAGTTTTAGATACCAGCCTGCTGTTAGTTACTGGAGGGGGTAGGATTAAAACCGTGCATCCCCTCTGCAGTCCTATCCCCTGAGCGGTGAGTCAGTCTCAGCAGCATAGCTGCCTCCAGGATCCAGACTTTGCAGTTTGGGCAGTGTGCTTCTGCTACCCATCTCCGTCATCCCCCAGTCCTCTTTTCTTCCCCTCTTCCTCCTCTTCTCTGTGTCAGGCATACCTGAGTGTCTTCCAGTCCTTCATCTACTCACACACTTTATAAATGAACCTGATTGAGTTATCTTAGGGAAGAAGGGATTAGTTCTGATTGAATTCACTCAGGGAGCTTGTTGGAAATTTAATCACAGTTCTTCTGTATTTCCTGTCTAAAAGTACAGCATTTGTGGGGAGATGAGCATTTGCAAATTAGCAGTGGTAACTTCTGCCCTGGGAAATGCTTTACCTTTGTGGTGAAGAACTTTTAAGAAAATAGCACTTAAGAGTGGATGTGAGGAAGGAACAGAAACACAAGAGTAGAAACTCCTAAAGCCTGGGAGAGGGCCATAGATTGACTGGGATCCTCTCAATTTCCATGATGGGAGGCTCTGGCAGAAAGTCTTGGGGGTTGAGGTGTGCATCTGTACTTTTTGGGAACTTAGGCAAACATAAGAAACCTGTGTGTGTGTGTGTGTGTTAATGCTCTGTTTGGCACAAGGACAGGGTGCCAAGCTGGTGAAAGATAACAGGCTGAGTACTGGGTGGGCAAAAGGGGAAATCAGAAAGCTGGTTTGTCTTAGCAGTGTCATTTACATCTGCATGACCCTCCAATAAGTTGCTTAACCTCTCTGGGCCTCAGCTACTTATTAACAATCTACCAAGTGAGGGATTTGAACTAGATGATCTCCAGGGAGCCATCTAGTTATAAAATTCTGTACCTTTTAATGCCAGCAACACTTGAGAAGGCAGATAAAAAAACAACCCCCTTCTTTGATTCTGTGTGACTATATTAAATGTGTGTATGTATGTATGTATGTATGTGTATGCGTGCGTATGCATGTGTTTCTATCTCTTTTAAAGACCTTGTCTTAAACCAGAGTAACTCTTTCCTACTTTCAGGGTAATCTCATTTCCTCCTGATTTCTGCAGGATCCTATTAGTAAGAGCTGAGTACAGCTTTGAGTCTTTGCCATATTGTTTGCTCAGGAGAAGAAAGATCGGCAGATGCCATTCACTGCCAGCAAATTGTCTGTGGCCTTCAGATAAGTCTTTTTAGGGAGACCCAGTTCCCAGGATCAATCTATCATCTGTTATCTGTCTGTCTGTCTGCATCTCTCTCTCTCTCTTTACATATCCATAACATTTACATTCTGTCAGATTCTGTGGTAACCACTTTGCATGCAATATCTTGCTTAATTTTCACAACTCTATGAGTTAGGTTTTATTAGTTTCCCTATTTTACAGAAAAGGAACCTGAAGCAGGGAGAGGTTAAGCTTTTTTCCTGAAATCCCATAGCAGGTGAGTAGTAGAGCCAGAATTGGAGCCCATCTCATACTTTTAACCACTATGCTAAACTCTGCCTTATGAAGGTGTTCTAAGAATGCTGCAGAGAGTATTGCTGTTGCATAAAAATATATGTATTTTCCAGGGTCAGATGTGGGACTAAGGAGGAGAAGCATTCATTTCAGAATAATTTCTCTTAAGGCTAAGAAAACATGAGTCACCTAAATACACTCAGTGCCTTCTGCCACCCAGGATGAAAGGCCAAGAACACAAAGGATCTGAGGTTGCAAGGGCTCACACGCCCCCTACCTGTTTTTTTTGACTACATACAGAAAGTAGTTTGTTTCCTCTGGCTGAGTTTCTTTAAGTGCTTTCGTAGTCATCAATGGTGTTCTTTCGCCAAGGCATGAAGCCAGGCCATTTAGTGTTTGGCTCTCTGCAAAGCTGGTTCCTCCTGGCAGTATGTATGGAGAACAGAATAACTGCACTCCTGTGAGTGCCTTTGCCCATGTCTTGTGCCTCTCAAATGCTGTATTGAGGATTTGCACAGATGTTAATTATAGGAACTAGAAGAAACCTTAAAGAGATCAGAAGGTTCCTCCTATTGTTTAATAGATAAAGAGAACTAAAAAGGTGAAGTTACTTGTCCAAAAATCACAAATCAATTTTATAGTAATGGAAGAAGTGGGATCCAGGCCTTCTATCTCTGGTTCACACTATGCTTAATATGTATAGAGCTAAATCATACTTCTGCGTCTCTCTTAACCTTTGCATACAATGCATCCTGGGGAACAGAGTTTACCCTTCATCACCTTTTAGGACAAAAAAATCAGCTCATAGAACCGGCTGCTGAATTAAAAAATATATACATTGTTTCTTACACACATATGAGATAATATTTAAATGGGTCTTTCTTGTCTCTTCACACTCATATAATGCAATCCTTTCTGCTGTTGTTAGTGGTGGTGTTTTATGATCTAAGATATACATTCTAAAATTCTATTCTATAGGTGAATAATACTGTACAGGCATGGTACAGGGAAAACCTCAAATAAATTTATGGGAAACCATAATTAAGAGTCCTATACATGAGGTAGCCCTGGTGGCTCAGTGGTTTAGTGCCACCTTCAGTCCAGGGCGTGATCCTGGAGACCTGGGATCGAGTCCCACGTCAGGCTCCCTGCATGGAGCCTGCTTCTCCCTCTGCCTCTCTCTGTATCTCTCATGAATAAATAAATAAAATCTTAAAAAAAAGAATTCTATACATGATTTTAAATGTATTTTGAACCTCCATAATATCTGCAAAAAGCCTTATCTATAATGAAAAATCCATTGATAATACTTTTCTTATGGAAGAGAAAAAGGAGGAAAAATTTTGTAGTTAAAATTTTCATTTAAGATCAGTTAGTATTTTCCCAGGTCTTGCTTATAAGATTCAAGCATTTAAGTTATATTTTATTTTTCGATAATGTAAATCCCAAATATGAAATTTAAAAGTAATGTGAGAACATGGCTAACCATCTTCTTATGTTAATGTTTATCACTATCAAATACCTCTCAGAGTAAATTTTATTCCCTTCTGTTTCAGAATAACACAAGTATCTTAAATTTAAAAGCCTAGTTTAAGACTCACATTGGGAAGAGGGGAGCCTGGGTGGCTCCGTCTGTTGAGTCTCTCCACTCTTGATTTCAGCTCAGGTCATGATCCCAGGGTCTTGACATCGAACCTTGTGTTGGGCTCCATGCTCAGCAAGGAGTCTGATTTAGACTCTCTCTCCCCTTCTGCCCTTCCCCTTAAATAAATAAATATATCTTTTTTTTAAAGTCTCACATAGGAAGGTAAATATTTATTATTCATTTCTTTATTTCTACCCCCCCCCCCCCAAATGGCATTAGCTGTTCTAATGTCTAATGACCCAAATGTCTCCTGGGTCTTTTGTTATATAGTATAAACATTTTAGTTCTCATCTTCCAACTCAGCAAAAGAGAGAGTAATAATTTAAGTTATACCCTCAGTTGTTTATATTTATTACATTAGATTTGTGATGTCCTTGTAAAGTCAAATCCTTGGTTTTGCATAGTAATTTTTCTTTGTGGAACTTAAAGTGATATGGAGTTGGATCCCATTCTGCTGAAATCATAGATATCTCATTGGTGGTAGTTGGTACTATTCAATGCTTAGGATGGATATAAGATACTTATGTGTTGAATTTAAATTAAGGTAAAGGAGCCTTTGGGAACTAATTATTTTTTGACAAGCCAAAAGGGACTTAGGAATTCATTTGGCTTCTTTCATCTTCCGAACTTGCAATGGAGGAAACAGACCCAAAGGGCTAAAGGAACTTGCTAGAGTGGCACAGCTCTTTTGTGGTAGCTTAGAATTAGTGGAAACCAATATATTTTGAGCACTTACTAGATGTCAGATGCTTCATATACACCACTGCATCTAATTCTTTGTAATCTACCATAGTGACAACTTCAGAAAAGTTAAGTAGCTTGCCTAAGGTACATAGCTAGTATGTTAGGGAGCAAAAATAAAATTTAGATCTATCTAGCTGTGAAGCTTAGGTAGGTCTTTCTATGGTCCTATGCTGCTATTTCTTGATTACCAACTTTGTTTTCACCTTGTTATTAAAAAATACAACACAGCAATGATTTGAAATAATATATTTGGCCCAAATAAGTCATATACACTTATTATTTTTAGGCCAATCATACAACCAAGTATGTTGTGTAGTAGGAAGAATATTAGACTTGACAGAACTTTGCCTCAAGTTCCAGTTTTGTCTCTGACTGGCTGTATTACCTGTCTGGAAGTCAGCTTCTGCAGAATTAATATGTGAGAATGGACTTGATGCTATCTAAATACCTTTCTAACCCTTCGTTCTATACATTCTTGATTGGTCTATTCAAATTGTCAACAAGTAGGCTTTGGAAATAGGGTGGATACACACAAGTGCAGTAGCTTGTGGAAATAGTATTGTTGGGAAAGTAACACACAGAGAAAGAGGAAACCATGTGGATGTCAGACCTGGTGTTGGTAAAAAACAGCA